TTTTTTCTGTCATTTAACTGTTTATCTAATACCTAACTACTTTGGTGTAGTATAAATGGCTCTTGAGGAGCTTTTTATCAGCAGGAAAAGTTGTACACCTATAAGAAGTCCACAAATGTATGCCATGCACACTTTCCAAAACCATCCAGCAGACCAGATTGGAGTCTCTGTCAGGTCAGTTCTGGCCCCCAGGACTTATGTTTGACACCCCTGATGTAAACGATGCTGTGGAAAACTGTAACTGCAGAGTTGGACTCATATACAGCTGTACTTCTGATCCCTGTTTAAAATGCTGCTGACTGGTTCATTACACATAGTAATAGTAACTTAAGTTTTATACACTATGTGTGCTTATTACTTTATTATATATCCCTCCACATTTATTTTTTTTTTGTAAATTCAGCAATATATTAAATGTATAAAAGGTATCTCTGTTTGTGTCAGAGCCCTTAGTGTTGAAATTAAATATTACACTTGAGAAATGTAAGTGTCATCATCTTCAATCTGGCTGATAGTCTTTGAGGTAAGCATGTGCCTTTGAATGTAATGATCAGTGAAATGAATAAAAATGTGTAATAAGGCAAGTGAAAATGTAGAAAAATAAAATGTTTAAACATTAAATTGTAGAAACATGCAGTGGAAAGGTTTGGTCTGAAGATTAAGATATGAGTTCTAGTGTGTGGTCATTCATGCAAACATCAGTGACTAAAAATTTACATATTCTTGGATACTGAAACAAATGCAGGAGTAAAGTATGAGACGGGTAGTGATTAGAAGAAAACCACAGAGACAGCAAGTCAGTCTACCTGCAAATTACTGCGTTTTATTAATGCCATAATACATTTGACTTGGATACTTTCTCAAGCCATGAGTGGGACTCATAGTTTGAGCTTCATTGGTAAGTTAAAGTATCTTAAACTTTTTTTAAGAAAAAATAAAGTTAAAATGAAGATGATGGAATTTAATGTACTCATCAGTGAGATCATTGAAAAAAATAACTCCTTTTTTAAAAAAAAAAAATCTTTTAAATGTCGGTATGTTAACAGGCATTTCCATCATGTTAACATTAACATCTGGAACACTGGCAGGTAAACTTTTCTTCTGCAATCACAACATTCTCGTCCACATTTATTAAGTGCAAACTATTACAAGTTTGCAAAAATTTAAAAAATAACGATTTTTCTTTAGAAAGCACAGCCAATAATTGAGCAAAGTTTCATTCTTAATAAAATGAATCCGTCTCAGTGCAGGCAAATACAAATATAATAACTACTAATTTGACACTGGACCTTGATTTATCTGTATCTATATCTTTATATGTATATTGCTTATTCCGAGCAAAAATGTAAAAATAGCCCTCT